AAAAAAAATGAAAAAAAGGGGGGGGGGGGGGGGGGGGAGAAAGAACAGGACGGAGAGCCCCGCATGCAAACCAAGGGAGGCTCCAAATTGCCTGCGCGGGGGGGGGGAGGAGTGCCCATCCCCGACATTCTGGCCAAGAGCCCGGCCTCCTTCCCCTTTGCCCCCCCCCAGGCGACGGGGACCCTCAAGCCAGTATCTGGGAAGCCGGGGTTCAAGTCCCCACCCTGCCATGTAGACTTGCTGGGTGCCCTCGGGCCGGCTGCACGTGCTCAGTCTGGCTGGCCGCACAGGGTTGTTGTGAGGATAAAAAGGAGAGGAGAGTGACGCGAACCGCCTGGGGCTCCCACCGGGGAGAAAGGGGGTGGGGGTACACCTGAAGTAAATGAGAAACACATGAAGTAAATGAGAGTAAACAGTGCAGGACCCGAGCCTTGACAGAACTCTGACTCTGGCGGGGGACTTGCCCAACGTCATCCAGCCAGGTGCAAGTGGAGGAGTGGGGAATCAAACCCGGTTCTCCCAGATTAGAGTCCGCGCACTTCACCACGACACCAAACTGGCTCTGCCCAAGAAGAGGAGGAGGAGATTGGATTTATACCCCGCCCTTCACTACCCAAAGGAGTCTCAGAGCGGCTGACAAACTCCTCTCCCTTCCCCTCCCCACAACAGACACCCGGTGAGGTAGGTGGGGCTGAGAGAGCTCTCGAGAACTGCCCTTGAAATAACAGCTCTGACAGAACTGTGGCTTGCCCAAGGTCACCCAGCAGCTGCATGTGGAGGAGTGGGGGAATAAAACCCAGTTCTTCCAGATTAGAGTCCGGGCACTTCACCACGACACCAAAATGCCTCTGAAGCCGAAAATCCTGGATGCCGGGGGTCAAACCTGGGACCTTCCGCATGCCGAGGAGAGGCTCCGGCACTCGGCTGCCAGCCCCTCCCCTAAACTGACGCCACCCCTGCCTGCCGGCTGCGGGGTGAGCAAGTACGGGGCGTCTGGCTGCTGCCCACCCCTACCGGCTCCCCTCCGCCTGCCCGCCCGCAGAACCCACCTTTGATGATGTGCCGAACGATCTTGATGGAGCTTCCCCGCATGTTCAGGATCTGATGGACTCTCTGGCGGATCTGGCGGGGGAACAAAACCAGAAGCGGTGAGGAGGACCAGAGTTCAGTTAAAGGGAGGAAGAAACGGGACTCTGGCCAGGAAATGGAGGTGATTAGGCGACGGCTGGAGGGAGCAGGAGGCAGAAGTGGGTTCCTTATTCGCACTTCCTTATTCGTGTAGTCACTCAGAAACACTAAGGAGAGTGAGTTGGAAAGCTCTGAAACCCAAAATAAGGTCTGGACCACCACAGATCATACACCCCCGTCTTCAGCGGACCCTCCCCTTCGAGGGGACACATTCTGTGTGCTGGTCCAAAGCACGGTTCCGGTACCAGTAGCTCCAAAGTGCGGTGTCCCCAGGATAAACACACAGGCAGACACTGGGGCCAGACTGTCCCCCCAAAAAATATTTGGACCACCCCAAATGACACATCTCCACGCTCTGGGGACTGTGCCCTGCAAGGTGACATAAAGTGATGCCCGGTCCAAATACCGGTTCTGATGCCACGAGCTTCTGTTCGCAGGGCTTCCCCAAGGCCTGCATTTCAAAGGAGATTTAAATAAGGAAGTGCCCCCTGCACCCAAAATAAGGTTTGGACCCCCACACTTCATACACCCCTGTCTTCAGCGGACCCTCCCCTTCGAGGGGAGAGAATTCAGCTAAGGATATTTTGTGGGAAAACTGTGTTTAGCAGTGTGTGGAAGCACTTAGAGTTCTTGCAGAGTCCTGGCTGATTGAGTGTGGGAGAGGAACGGGCATTGTTTGACTGGGATTGCCTGTAATTGAGAGGAAGTGGAAGGGGCATTGTTTTGCCTGTGATTGAGTGCCTGGGTGAATTTGAATTTGAATAGCTGCTGCCTGACCTCTGCTGGGGGAGGCCTCTATTTAAGGAAGCACCTTGGCAGAGGCACGAGCCTCTGGCACGAGCCGAAGGGTGAGCTAAAGGGCTCTTTGCCTGTGGCTCTTAGCCTAGGGACTCTTAGACTAGGGGCGCTGTAAGAAGCCCAAAAAGAGCCAGAAAGACAAGGCCCTAGGCTCTTTGTCTTTCCCGTAAAATAATTTGACTTGATAACAAAACCCACATAAATACCAAGGGTTTAAAAGGGGGATTATATTTATTTATTTTAAAAGAATTATGAAGCCAGAATGCCAGCAGGGGGTTGGGGGCTATCCAGTGTTTTGCACGGAGTGTCACATGTATGACTATCTGCCCACTGGGCAGAAGTCTTGGGTGTGTCCTCGGTGCAAGGAGCTCCTGGTTCTCAGGGAACGTGTGTGCTCCCTTGAGGCCAAGGTGGCTGACCTGGAGAAGCAGAGACAGTCAGCTAGGCACACAGAAAAGACTCTCGGGGACTTGTTAGCTTCGTCCCACTCTGGATCTGGCAGCCCCGCTGCTGTCAGGGAGCATGAGGGTCTAGGGGAAACAGGGCACCATGCTGAGGATAAGGGGAATGTGCCCTCAGAAGGGACCTCTTCCCCAGCTGGTGAGCGGCTCTCCTTTTGCACCAAGGAACCATCCCTGAGCAGGGTGGGAGGGGGGCTCTTGGTAGTGGGTGATTCGATCCTTAGGCAGGTAGACAGCTGGGTGGCGAACCCGCGTACTGACCGTATGGTGACTTGCCTGCCTGGTGCGAAGGTAGCGGACATTACGCGTGTTTTAGATAGGCTGGTAGATAGTGCTGGGGAGGAGCCAGTGGTCGTGGTGCATGTCGGCACCAACGATGTGGGGAAATGCAGTCGTGAGGTCCTGGAGGAGAAATTTAGGCTGCTGGGCAGGAAACTTAGGTCCAGGACCTCCAAGGTAGCCTTCTCAGAAGTGTTACCTGTTCCACGCGCAGGGCCGGAGAGACAGGCAGAGATCAGGAGTCTCAATGCGTGGATGAGACGATGGTGTAGGGGGGAAGGGTTCAGGTTTGTTAGGCACTGGGATACTTTTTGGAACAAGAGGGAGCTGTACAGGCGAGACGGTCTCCACTTGTCCCGAGAAGGAACCAGGCTGCTGGCACTTAAAATCAAAAAGGTGGCAGAGCAGCTTTTAAACTGAATATTGGGGGAAAGCCGACAGGAGATGAAAAGTCTCTGGTTCGGGTTGGCTCATCTGAGAGAGGTGAGGGGGTACCGGTTGCTTTTCTACAGGGAGGTGGATTGAAATTGTCCACAGAGGCCATGGCTGGTGACATGGACTGCCGGACAACGACTCGAGATAGCAAGAGGAAGGATGCAGGCTTAACTTGTAAGGGAAATTACAGCTGTTTCTATACAAATGCTAGAAGTGTCCGAGGTAAAATCGGGGAGTTGGAGTGCTTGGTGTCGGAGGGAAAAATAGACATTGTGGGTATTTCTGAAACTTGGTGGGATGAGGAAAATCAGTGGGACACAGTGATTCCCGGTTATATATTATATCGGAAGGATAGGGGGGGAAGGGTTGGAGGTGGGGTAGCTCTGTATGTCAGAGAGGGTATAAAGTCTAGAAAGATTGAGAGGCTAAGTGAATTGGATTCGCTTCTGGAAGTTCTATGGGTTGAAATAGGGGGGCCAAAAGGAAACTTAACACTGGGAGTTTGTTATCGCCCACCAGATCAAAAGATAGAGGAGGATTATAAAATGATGAATGCCTTAAAGATAGCAACTAGACAAAAACACTGTGTAATAATAGGTGATTTTAACTACCCACACATTGATTGGGTCAATATGTGTTCTAGTCGGGAAAAAGAGATTGAGTTTCTAGACACTCTAAATGACTGTGCTATGGAGCAGATGGTCACGGAACCTACCAGGGGAGAGGCGATCCTTGATTTGGTCCTAAGTAACACTCAAGACCTGGTGAGAGATGTAAAAGTGATTGCACCGCTTGGAAACAGTGATCATAATGTTGTTGAGTTCATCATTTGTACAAATAGAGAATTGGCCAAAAAGACTCACACAACCATTTTTAACTTTAAAAGGGGTAATTTCTCTGATATGAGGGGACACGTGGGGAGGAAACTGAAAGGAAAAGTAGAAAGGGTCAAAACAATTGGGGAAGCTTGGGATCTATTTAAAACTACGATCCTAGAAGCTCAAAAAATATATATTCCGCAGGTTAGGAAAGGCACAAACAGGTATAGGAAAAAGCCTGCATGGTTAACAAACAGAGTAATGGAGGCTGTAAAAAGTAAAAAGAATTCCTTTAAGCAGTGGAAAGCTAGTCACAGTGAGGCTGATAAAACGGAACACAGGCTATGGCAAATAAAATGCAAGTCTGAGGTCAGGCAGGCAAAAAGGGAATATGAGGAGCATATAGCAAAAAACGTAAAAACCAACAATAAAACTTTCTTCAAATACATTAGAAACAGGAAACCAGCCAGGGAGGCAGTGGGGCCCTTGGACGACCAAGGGGTAAAAGGAGTATTGAAGGATGATAGGGAAATGGCTGAGAAGCTAAATGCATTTTTTGCCTCCGTCTTCACTGTGGAAGATGAGAAGTGCTTGCCCACTCCAGAACCACTGATTTCAGGAGGGGTGTTGGAAGACCTGAGTCAGATTGAGGTGATGAGAGAGGAGGTCCTAAAACTGATAGACAACTTAAAAACTGAAAAATCACCAGGCCCAGATGGCATACATCCGAGAGTTCTGAAAGAACTCAAATGTGAACTTGTAGATCTCCTGACAAAGATATGTAATCTTTCCTTAAAATCTGCCTCCATTCCTGAGGATTGGAAGGTAGCTAATGTCACTCCCATCTTTAAAAAGGGTTCCAGAGGAGATCCGGGAAATTACAGGCCAGTCAGTCTGACGTCGATACCGGGTAAATTGGTGGAAACCATTATTAAGGAAAGAATTAGTAGGCACATAGATGAACAAAACCTATTGAGGCAGACTCAGCACGGTTTCTGTAAGGGAAGATCTTGTCTCACTAACCTGTTAGTGTTCTTTGAGGGGGTGAACAAACATGTGGACAAGGGGGATCCAATAGATATTATTTACCTTGACTTCCAGAAAGCTTTTGATAAAGTTCCTCATCAAAGGCTCCTAAGTAAGCTCAAAAATCATGGGATAGAAGGACAAGTCCTTTTATGGATCAAAAACTGGCTAGTTCATAGAAAACAGAGAGTGAGTGTAGGTGGGCAATTTTCTCAGTGGAGGGTGGTAAGCAGTGGGGTACCGCAGGGATCAGTACTTGGTCCACTGCTTTTTAACTTGTTCATTAATGATTTGGAGATGGGAGTAAGCAGTGAAGTGGCTAAATTTGCGGATGATACAAAGTTGTTCAGGGTGGTGAAAACCAGTGAGGATTGTGAGGCACTCCAAGGGGATCTGTCAAGGATGGGCGAGTGGGCGTCAACATGGCAAATGGGGTTCAATGTGGCCAAGTGCAAGGTGATGCACATTGGAGCCAAAAATCCTAAATATAAATACACATTGATGGGGTCTGAACTGGCAGAGACTGAGCAAGAGAGAGATCTTGGAGTTGTAGTGGATAACTCACTGAAAATGTCGAGACAGTGTGTGACTGCAATAAAGAAGGCCAATGCTATGCTGGGGATTATTAGGAAGGGTATTGAAAACAGATCAGCCAATATAATAATGCCCCTATATAAATCAATGGTGAGACCTCATTTGGAATACTGTGTGCAGTTCTGGGCACCACACCTTAAAAAGGATATTATAGCTTTGGAAAAAGTGCAGAAAAGGGCAACTCGAATGATAAAAGGGTTGGAACACTTTCCCTATGAGGAAAGGTTAAAGCGCTTAGGGCTCTTTAGCTTGGAGAAAAGACGACTGAGGGGTGACATGATCGAGGTTTATAAGATTATGCATGGGAAAGAGCAGGTAAAGAAAGAGGTACTTTTCTCCCTTTCTCACAATACAAGAACTCGTGGGCACTCCATGAAACTGCAGAGCGGTCGGGTTAGAACGGATAAAAGGAAGTACTTCTTCACCCAAAGAGTGATTAACACATGGAATTCACTGCCACAGGAAGTGGTGGGTGCTACAAGCATGGACGGCTTCAAAAGGGAATTAGATAAGCATATGGAGCAGAGGTCCATCAGTGGCTATTAGCCACAAGGTATAGCTAGGGGCTCTGGGGCAAGTGATGCTCTGTCTTCTTGGTGCTTGGGGGGGGGGTCAACAGTGGGAGGGCTTCTAATGTCCTGGCCCCACTGCTGGACCTCCTGATGGCACTGGTATTTCTGGCCACTGTGTGACACAGAGTGTTGGACTGGATGGGCCTTTGGCCTGATCCAACATTGGCGTCTCTTATGTTCTTATGTTCTTATGTGTCCCCAGGATAAACACACAGGCAGACACTGGGGCCAGACTGTCCCCCAAAACAATATTTGGACCACCCCAAATGACACATCTCCACGCTCTGGGGACTGGGCCCTGCAAGGTGACATACAGTGATGCCCGGTCCAAATACCGGTTCTGATGCCACGAGCTTCTGTGGCACGTAAGAAAGGGCCACGAGAAAGGGTTCATCTAGTCCAGCATCCTGTCTCACACAGGGGCCAGCCAGTTCCTCTGGGGGGCCAACTACAGGGCATTCAGAGGCCGAGGCCCTCCCCTGAGGTTGGCACCGGAACTCAGAAGTTGACTGCCTCTGAATGTGGAGATTCCCTTTACTTACTAGCAGCCACCGATGGACCCACCCCTCCATGAATCTGCCCAGCCTCTTGTTAAAGCCCCGCAAAAGCCCCGCAGTGGGTTGGTGGGGGACAGGCAGTGGGGGGCTCAGGGCCAGAGTGCCTGGTGGGTCCTGCCCTCACCTGAGCGATGTTGCTGCTGCAGATCTCTGCCATGATGTAGCAGATGAGCTGGAGGACAAAGAGGCCGGCGTCCAGGCGGCGGAGGTAGAACTCGTCTTCCAGGTCATCGTCGATGATCTCTCCACGGCGCACCATGTCCTGGGGGGGGGGGGCAGGGGGCGAGAGAATGCTCCACACGGAAGAACTGGCAAGGTCCTTGGCAGGACTGCCTAGCCTCACTGTAAGCCCCACTTGTGAATACCTGCAGCTGTCTCCACAGTAAGCCAGGGTAGGGCACAACACCTTCTGAACTTGCAAACCCAGGGACACACTTACTAGAAATCAAGTTTTTTTTTTAAAAAAACAAACGACGACGAAGAGAAAGAACACACAAACTCACTTTTTCTCAGCAATTCCTCTTTTTTTGGGGGGGGGGGCTGTCAAGTCATAGTCGACTTTGGTGTAGCCAGTTTGGTGTAGTGGTTAAAGGAGAAGAAGAGGAGATTGGATTTATACCCCACCCTTCACTACCCAAAGGAGTCTCAGAGCACCTCACAAACTCCTTTCCCTTCCCCTCCCTGCAACAGAGACCCTGAGAGTGGCTTACAATCTCCTTTCCCTTCCCCTCCCTGCAACAGAGACCCTGTGAGGTAGGCGGGGCTGAGAGCGCTCTCTTGAGGACTGCTCTTGAGAGAACACCTCTTGGCAGAACTATGGCTTGCCCAAGGTCATCCAGCAGCTGCAGGTGGAGGAGTGGGGGAATCAAACCCGGTGCTCCCAGATTAGAGTCTGTGCACTTAACCACGACACCAAACTGGCTCTCAATGCAGGAAATTCACAAATATCTCCCCCCCCACACACAAATCCTCAGTGACTGTTGTTCCATTGCTTCCTGACCCCAAAGTGGCGACCAGCATTACCCTGGGTGTCAAGCCTACGGTCCAGAGCTTAGCCACGGTCAGGCAGGACTCGAAGCAGGCAGCAGGAGGCAAGGGAACTCCCACGCAGCCTTGGCCCCCCCCGTTCCGGTTGCCCCGAGGAGGGTCAGGAAGCAGATCCTCGGATGTATGACATCAGCAGGAGCTCTAAGTGCAAGTCCCGCGTCCCTCTGCTCTTCTGCTCTGAAGCCCTGTAGCGACTGCAGGCCTGGTGGCTCCACCAACCCCCCCCCCCGTGCCTTTCCCCCCCAACGGGCCAGTCTCTGTATCTCACCACCTCCAGCCCGCCTCCGCCCGGCCCCCTGCCAGCAGTAACTCACGCCAAGTGTGACCTTTTTGCAGTCTTCACGTTGGAATTTTTGTTTTGCCAACCCATCGGGTGCCCTGCCGCTGGCGTAATTTATTATACGGCGGGCCTGGCAGGTGGGCACACTCTGCCAGAGCAATATTTCCTCATTAGAGCCGTTGCCGGAGAGAGCGACTCGTACCCGCCACGAGGGGGGGGGGTCGTGTGTCGGAGGGGGGGGGGGGGGGAGAAACCTTGATGCAAGGTCGCGGTGCCACAGCGGAGCCAGGGCTCTTTTCCCGGCGCCCTCGGCCAAACGCCCAGTCCCAATTAGAGACGCTCCGGAGGTGGCGTTCGCCTGCAGCACAGGCATGCCCCCAGCCCGAAACTGCCAATCCCTAGCCTGCCCCCGCCTGAGAAGCCTCACAAATGTGCCACCCAGCAAGCCAAAGACAGACAGACAGACAGACACACACACCCCTGGGCACCTGCTGCACTCTGCCAGCTTCCATCTCACTCTCTGCAGAAATCTGGAGAGAAGGTGGGCGTGGGCGGGCGCGCCACCTCTGGGTCCCTTTGGCTGTCCAAGACAGGGCGCTGCACTAGCAGGGAAGCACCTGGGCCCGGTGGCATCCAGCTCCCAGCTCCACCTTCTCCTGGGCCCCTTACTCATCTTTCTCTCTGCTGCAAGCACCCTGGTCATAGAATCATAGAATGTTAGAGATGGAAGGGACCTTGCAGGTCATCTAGTCCAATCCCCTCTGCACTCTGCAGGAGCAGAGCCGAAAGAGAGCCCTACAACAGACCCGAGAGAGGGCCGTCCAGCCTCCGCTTGGAAACGTCCAGTGAAGGAGCCTCCACCACCTCCCGAGGCAGTCTGTGTTCCACTGCTCAACCACTCTCACAGTCAGGAAGTTTCACCTGATATTTAGCTGGTATCGACTCCCTTGCAATTTCCACCCATTAGATCTAGTCTTGCAATCCGAAGCAAGAGAGAATAGATCTGCTCTACCTGACAGCCCTTCAGATACTTGAAGACTGCAATCCTGTCCCCTCTAAGCCTTCTCTTTCCCAGGCTAAACAGACCCAACTCTTCCAGCCTTTCCTCCTATAAGACTTGGATTCCAACCCTCTCACCATCCTGGTTGCCCTTTTCTGGACACGCTCGAGCTTGTCAGCATCCTTCCTAAAATGTGGTGCCCAAAACTGGACACAAGACTCCACGTGAGGCCTGACCAGGTGAGGTCCTTGGACCATGCACCCCAACTCCTCCTGGCTGCCCCCCCTGGCCCCGCCCTCTGGACGGAATCTAGCCTGGATGCAGGATTCTCAGAACCTGCCCCTTGGGCGAGCCACTGGGACTTGTCTCAGGAGAGACAAGAGGAAGTGCTTCCACACCGAGGCGAGGGATTAAACTGTGGAACTCACTGCCAGCGGATGCAGCCGTGGCCGTGAGCACAGAGGGCTTTAAAAAGGGGATGAGGACAGATTCAAGATGAGGCTGTGTCACTTAGAGGAGGGCAGGGAGCTGTTCCTCTTGGCAGCAGAGGAGAGGACTCGCCATCATGGGGGGAGGGAGAAAAAGGAGGAGGAGGAGATTGGATTTACACCCCGCCCTTCACTTGGAGTCTCAGAGCGGCTTACAAACTCCTTTCCCTTCCCTTCCCTTCCCTTCCCCTCTCCACGACACAGTGTGAGGGGTAGGTGGGGCTGAGAGAGCTCTGACAGAAACGTCTCTTTTTCAAGAACGGCTCTTATCAGAACTACGGCTTGCCCAAGGTCATCCAGCAGCTGCAAGTGGAGGAGTGGGGAATCAAACCCGGTTCTCCAAGATTAGAGTCCTCTGCGCACTTAACCACGACACCAAACTAATGGGCAGGAAGGTACTGGCTGGATCTTAGGAAAAACCTTTTGACAGTCAGAGTTGGATTCAGCTGCCTGGGGAGATGGTGAGTTCCCCCTCCCTGGCAGTGTGCAAGCAGCAGCTGAACAATCACTTGTCAGGGGGATGCTCTAGGCTGATCTTGTGTTGAGCAGGGGGTGGGGCTAGATGGCCTGTCGGGCCCTGTCCACCAACTCTGGGATTCTAGGAGGAGAAGTCCATCAGTGGCTATTTCCACCGGCGATGAAAAGTAAAGTCCTGGTTCAGAGGCAGCAAATCTCTGAATATCGGTGCTAGGAAGCAACATTGGGGAAAAGCACTAAACCCTTATGCCCTGTCGTTGGCCGTCCAGAGGAACTGGTTGGCCCCTGTGTGAGACAGGATGATGGACTAGATGGACCCTCACTAGTCTGATCCAGCAGGGCTCTTCTGAGGTTCTTATGAAGGTCTCAGCCTCTCTGCCCTGTTGCTGGCCCTCCAGAAGAACTGGTTCGCCACTGTGTGAGACAGGATACTGGACTACATGGACCCCTGGTGTGATCCAGCAGGGCTCTTCTGATGTTCTTATGAAGGCCTCAGCCTCTATGCCCTGTTGTTGGCCCTCCAGAGGAACTGGCTGGCCACTGTGTGAGACAGGAGGCTGGACTAGGTGGACCCTCACTGGTCTGATCCAGCAGGGCTCTTCTGATGTTCTTATCTTGTTGTAATCTATACCTCCTTATTTTTCCTGGTTATGTTTACCGTGTTTTGTGCATTGTAAAAAAGTATAAAAATAAAAAATGAAGGCCTCGACCTCTCTGCCCTGTTGTTGGCCCTCCAGAGGAGCTGGCTGGCCACTGTGTGAGACAGGAGGCTGGACTAGATGGACTACTGGTCTGATCCAGCAGGGCTGTTCTGATGTTCTTATGAAGGCCTCAGCCTCCCTGCCCTGTTGTTGGCCCTCCAGAGGAACTGGCTGGCCACTGTGTGAGACAGGAGGCTGGACGAGGTGGACCTTCACTGGTCTGATCCAGCAGGGCTCTATTTGTGTTCTGGTTTCTGGATTGTGTTTCCCACTCTCCTACCCAGCCTCATATCCATCAGAGATCCCGCAGTCACTCACTAGCCTGGCCATGGCAGGGGCTTCCCGGAGAAGGCACCGGGGCCCTCTAGTCTCCCCCCTCCCCAAACTCTGCGGGGGAGAGCAGGGATTCCGCTGACACTCACGAGCCCTGGCAGGAGCTCCATCACTCCCCACGGTTCCTGCCCATTTGCCTTGACAGCTCCTGAAATTTTTAAAATGAGTGGCAAGACCTTGTGAGCTGTCGGCGCCACCGGCTCTGGCTGACATCTGAAGAGCCAGACGGGCGACACCTGCCGTCCCGGGGAAGGGGGCCGATTCGGGAGGCAGACTCCGCGGGCTGCCCGAGAGGCACAGGCAGGCGGGCTGAGCGGGAGCCTTCCCTCTGGAGCGCTGAAAGCGAGACGAGACCGGCGCGTGCCAGGAAATTAAAGAGGAGGGGTGCGGGAAGCCAGCATGTGCCACCGCCACGGTGCCACGTGGAGCCTCGTTAGCCACCTCTGCACCCCCTCCCAGATGTTCCAGCCCCAACGCCAAACGGCCTCCTTGCTTCCCCTCCCACCACCACCCCCAGCCGTCCAGATGCCAACCTCCCAGCGAGGTCTCAGCGTGCCCGGCCTGATCTGCCGCGAGAGGCCCCCGTGCTGATGGGGGACGACAGCGAGAAGGTGGGCTTGGTGAGGGTCAGGCCAGCTCTCCTCTCACGCTAACGAGGCCACAGGTGAGAAATGGCAAGTGGGGGGGGGGGAGGAAAGAGGTGCTTCCTGCCCCCAGAAGTCACATGCCAGACTCCACCCCGGTTCCCGGCCAAGGGCTTGTGCTCGTCTATCTAAAGACCATAGAGCTGGAAGGGGCCCTACGGACCATCTAGTCCAACCCCCTGCCCAGTGCAGGACCCGCCTAGAGCATCCCTGACGGATATCCGCCCAGCCTCTTCTTGGTAGCTGCCAGTGAAGGGGAGCCCACCACCTCCCTCAGCAGCTGATTCCACCT